TTTTTTTTTTTTTTATTAATACTCCCCCAAAGGTTAGACGTAAAAGATATAACACCAGTATATTTATATAAATAATGCATTAACAACTTTTTTAGGAAATAAGCAATATATAGAATCAGAATGAATAGTGTTTCTGGTCATTTCTATTTACTTTAGTTGAAGTTAATTTTGTTTGAACTTAGGGAATTGTTAGGATACACTATGATAAGCGGATGTTCACAACTTGCTACGAACTTGACCATGCTCTCACACATTGCCTAATTCACTCAAACCTAGTTGCACTTGGCAATTTGTTTCGTTCTTCATTTATCGGTGGAACCTATTTATATGCAATTTTTCTTTTTCTTCCTCAATGTCAGCCAAAATAATTAGATCAGCATTCCTTCGCACATCTTTCTCTCCCAAGTTGGTGAGAATTGGGATGTCATTAAAACCACTGATATTGTTATCAAACAGAAGTGGCATTTACACATTGTAGTGACGGTGGTGGGTTGAAGCCGATAGGCCCGACACCAAATATACCCTCCAAATAATTATTGTGATACAATTAGTTAAAAAAAGAAATTTGTAGAATTTAAATATAGAATATAGATGAAATATGTTGAGAAAATGTACTACGTAGATTTGGCCCATATTTGACAACCATTAATTATCGAAAATAAAGTATTGAATAGTATTTTTTAGAAAAAATCTGAGATTAAAAAGTAGGAAAAATTTTGAATTTACGTTATTGTGTAAATGTGTGGTTGAAAATGAGTATATAGAAAAAAAGTTTGAAAAAAAATGATTGTCAAACAAGGGCTTAATTGCACAATAAAAGAAGAATTTGATAAAAATAGAATATGGAAGAAATGATGAACTAATTGTATAAAAATTGAATTCCACTAATTGCATGAGAAATTTAGAAGGTAGAATTGTAGAGATTTTTTATGTGAAAAAAAATGAAGGATAACGTTAGTTAGCATTAGTGCAGCTAGAATACTAATCTAGATAGTCACACTTTATATATTCGATTAAATAAATTATATGACATTGCATATAAGTGAATATATTATTTAATATCATGCAATTGTCACTTAAATTGGTGCTTGATATCGGTGATCCTAATGCCCCGTTTGGCCCCAATTCTTACCAAATTAATAGTTGGAATAGTGTTTTTTCGAAAAATGTATGGTTGAAAAAGAATGATTTTTTTATTTGCATATAATATTATTTTATGAAAAATTGTGTGGTTGAAAATAAGAGAGAGAAAAAAATGAGAATGATAATGATAATGGGGACCAAACGGGGGTTAAATAGCATCACTAAAAAATGAATTGCAGAGATGTGGGTATTTATAGACTTTTAAAAGAAAATAACAATAATTAAAATTCCGACCATTGGCTTGCCAACTGTCCTTTTTCCATTAGTCACATTTAAAATTTTTAAAAAATAAAAAATAAAAAAAAATCCACGAGCCGCTCATGTCCGAAGTGAGCCCAGTCTGACTCGTCATTATTATTATTATTATTATTATTATTATTATTATTATTATTGATGAGTTCAGCTTGATCTTGAGCTCATCTAGAGAGGCCTATGGACCGATTCCAAATGAGTGAAGCGACCAAGTGCACGAACCGCGAGATCCAATTATCACCTTAGCAGTAGCCTAATACTATTTTTTTTTTCCTGATAATGAACCAAAAGATTAATCTTAATATGCATATTTTTCTACAAGCTTAAGGCCCGTATACTCTGATTATCTTGGAATTTCTAGCT